AATTCCTGAAAAAAAATCCTGTTTGTATTTCTAGGCATCACTGTATTCAAAATATATTTTCCCCTAGGTCATATTTGCTTAATTACTTATCTTCTGATAAACATTTAACTCTTACTTTTTAAAACATGATTTTAAATTAATAGGATTTATTTGTGTACATTAGTCAAATTCTTTAGATTCTGAGAACTGAAGTCTGTGTTAATTGGAATTTTAATTTTTAAAGTTAATGACAGTTTAATTAACCAGTATTTTGATTTACAATCTTATCTCCAATTTATGAGCTACCTGTCCCCTTTCTGTGGCCAATAGATGACAAACTTGAAGATTTCTATTATAAGATTTATTTTTATGCATTGATTTAATTCTTTGAACCAAATAAGTAGGATAGAAGAAGTAAGATGATATTTTTGTATGCTGTCAAATGGTTTAGAAACCTAGTATATAACATTATTTTTATTTGTTTGTGAAGACAAATAAAATTAGAAAATAAAACAGGCTTTTATGGTTTTTTTTTAATTTTTCACCAGTTGTGGGGTTTGAACTCAGAGCCTGGCACTGTCCCTGAGCTTTTGTGCCCAAGGCTTAGCTGAGTCAAAGCTCCACTTTCAAATTGTTTTGGCTGTTATCTTCAGATAATAGTCTGCAGACTTTTCTGCCTCAGCTGGTTTTGAACCATGACCTTCAGATCTCCATCTCCTGGGTAGCTAGAATTATAGGTGTCCCTGGCTTTATATGCAATTTTCCTATTTGGATTTATTGATAGAAAGGGGATTGACAACTTTCTAATTGTAGAAACCAATTTCTTTGTTGTGAGAATTGTAGCCAAATTATGACTATATAAAACTGGCATTTAACTTAAAAATTATAAATAGCAATGGTTTCTTTTTTTTAGAATTGAGATTTAGTAATCATCTTGTTGATTCCTTTGTTTTGCATTGAAGCCACAGTTAGTACAAATAACCTATTATTAGGCTAAACTTACTGGCTAGTTAGCTAAAGTTCTTCTCACCATGAAATGTATTTCCCATCACAGCACATGATTTCCTACTCCTCAAATCCTGGTGATTTAAGCTTTGGTAGACTTTAACACTGTAAGCAAAATTCCTTTATGTTTCTCCTTTAAGTTTCTTCTCACCATGTTTTATTTTCTTATCATGTAAACTAGTCTTATATTTGTGTAATAACCAAGAAAAATTTAACAGAAAAATAAAAAAGCTAGAAAGTAATTAATGCCCTAGCAAGTTGTAAAACTGATTTCTACTTTTCTAACTAAATGCTCTTTCATCAGGTTTTCTCCTATTTATGTACAACTTTACATGAAAGGTGAATTTATTATTTAAGCTTTTTTAAATATTCTATATGAATATTATCTTGTCTACTTAACTACTGCTGTGTCTTTGGTGTATGCAAAATGTGTTCAATTATTAAGGTGATATGATATGATTTCTAAGACACTGAAATTATAAAATATTTATTTGTGTCCTTTTTTAGCTACAATGATAATCCTTTAAAGAGTATAATAAAGCTGGGCTTGGTGTGTTACACTTGTAATCCTAGCTATATCAGAGATAGAGATTCAGAGGATCATGCAACACCAGCCTAGTTTAAAGTTAGTGACCCGATCTCATCCAAAAAGCTACACCCAGTTATATGTACTTTTCATTCTAGCTAGATAGAACGTATAAATAGGAAGACCATAGTTCAGGTTTTTTTAAGCAAAAATGTGAGACCCTATTTTTAAAATAACAAAAGAAAAAGCTTAGGTTTTGGCTCAAGTCGTGGAATGCCTGCCTCACAAGCAATTGGCCCTAAATGCCAACTCCAGGATTGAGGAAAAAAAAAGTTTTTTAAGGTAAAATAAAAATAACTTGGCAGGATACATTGGAAGATTAACATTTGAAGCACAAAGCATTGACTTCAATAAATCCCCTTATATTACAACCATTCACAAATTTAAATAGCTGAAATAGGCCAATAGTTGTATAAATGATTAAGTTACTAGAAAATTAAAACTTAATTATAGTGAAATGGGTAAGAATACATGAAAGAATTCAGCTATTTTAAAGAGAACATATCAATAGTTGTGTTTTCTAGGAAAAGAGAAAAAGAGATAAACCAATGATATTTTCAAGCTTTGGTTTTCTCCTACAATGTTTATTCATTTTGGCCACTGGGTGGGGGCTGGAGGTGGGGGCAGGATCCATTGATATATACATCTTTTTATTTTTATTTTTTAATTGTGAAAATACCATACCAAGGGGTTACAATTACATGAGCAAGGTAATGAATACATTTCTTATCAAGCATTGTTGCCTCCTCCTATGTTTCCTCTTCCCATTCCTTCCCATCTCTTGTTTTTCCCCTACCATCTCTGCCCTCCCATCTCCAGGACTACACTCCACCCCTTCTCCCCCTGCCAAAGTTGTAAGGTTCATTTGTCAACATAATGTCTTGTACATCTCATTTTTGCATTGGTTCCCCTTTTTCCCTATTTAAACAATTTGTTTTTTCCCTTCCCCTCCACAAATTATACCAACATCAAATACAGTGAAAACGGGGGTTATACCATGGGGGAAAGGACATACAAAGCAACAAAAAAATCATCTTATAAATATGTTAGAAACAATAGCAAGAAAGAAAAATCATTTGAGTCCTACTACTACATTGTCTTTAATTATCAATAAACAAAGTTTAAATTTTCATTTAATATGCTCATTGTACTACTACCTAAAGCTCAACTGTAATGAAATTAGCACTTGAGAACCTTAAATATTTAAATTTCACTAGGCCCTTATCTATGTGATAAATTGTTTTTAGCCAATGCACATTCTATGAGGATTCTTTTCCTTAGATGAATATGTTTTTTGACTTACATCCATAGTATAATCATGAATGAGATTCTTGACTCAAATTCATTATCCGAAGTATGTGCACATGCTTAGACTTTAAAATCCAGATTCCTATTTGAGTTTAACTTAACAGAATCAGAATGAATAGTTAGTTCAAACAATTTGGCTGTCTAAATCTTCAAAGTATACATGCAGTTGTTTCCATTCTTTACTTTTTGTTTTCCCTCTTTTGACAAACAAGAAATTAGAGACATAACTGTGTGTGTGTGTGTGTGTGTGTGTGTGTGTGTGTGTGTTGGCAAAGCATACAGAGAAATGTGCACCTCACTTTGTAGGCATTTGTTTGTTAAATAATCTTTCTCCTTTTGTCCTTAAGATACATTCTTTATCATCCAGTTATAATGTAACACTAGCTGCTATAGCAGATAGGGACCACCCATTAATTCACTTCTTGGATATTTTGGACAATGATGTGAATGGAATAATTCTTTAGAAGTGCATATAATGACCATTCTATTACAAAAAGATGGAAGAGTCATCTTTCTCTCTCAATTGTATGCATTTCATTTGCCCAAATTGCATTCCTTATATTGTTCTAACTAGGATTTTATGAAACCTATATGTTTCTAAATGAGAGATTTCTTCTAGACACCTGAACAAATGTGAATAGTAGAAATGAATATTTTGTCCTTTTCTGTTTTTACTGCTTCCTTCAGAATTCCCTACTATACTCCCCTCCTTCATTGACCAAAATAGCAATTCCTTTGAGTGTCTCTCCCCTGGGAGTCTTTTCCATTTCTTTCTGTTGAAAGTCTAGAGAGACAAATATCCTCTTAATGACTTGGCTGCCCTGGCAGTCTCTGTCAGTGGCTTTCATGCCCTTCTCCCTCAAAAAGACAGATTATATTATGTAGCAAAGCTCACGGAGAGCCCTTCTACTGTGATTTGGAATGTTCTGGGGCAGAATTTAAGCCCAGCAGCTTATCTTTAGTTACATACTTGCCTTTGGGGGTGGGGGGGGCAGGCCTTAAGTATCTTAAGATATAACTTAGTATCTTTCTACTTCTACCTATTGCTCTGTACCCCCACCTCCACCTACTCCACCTACAGAAGTCTACTCCCTAAGTCCTGAATAACCAACTCCTGTCTACTCCTAAGTACCTGAGGCCTTATGTTTACACCCAACCTTGTCCCCCAACCTTTCTCTCCAGATAGAATATTGGAATGTTTTTTGCAATCTAACAACGTATATGAAAGTTTTCAGTCTAACGGCATGAATGAAAGTTTTTTTAAATCAGGAATGTGCTGTCAGTCTTTCATATTTTAATGGATTTCATAAGTTTCTGTAACTCTCAAATATCCCCCCATGCAGATGACTACCCATTCATTTCATACATAGGTTCTATGTCCGTCTACTCTAATAAACCAATAGCTTTTATTCTCCCCAACACTGGAAGTATAGAAAAGAAAGCCTTAGTAATTTAGATAGGTAATTTGGTTTGAATAGAAACAATCAAGTGATTTTACATAATTCTTTCATTGAAATGTTATAGTAAACATTATGCAATACTTATAATGATCCAAATAAAATTAACTTAAATTGTATTTTGTTGAACATGCAGAGCAGCCTGCTGTACAGGTCAAATAATTAGCCCTGGGTTATAGATAAGGCAACTCTAACCACAGTCAGTAGCTGGATCAGCTAGGAATGAGGAAGCTGGACTTCCACCTCTATCAAACTATTGTGCCAGGGAAACTACTCAAGTCAATTTCAACTGGGGACAAACAATCTTCCCTTGTAGCTACATACTTGCTTTCAAAGTAAACACTAAACCAAAGAATCAGACTTTATTCCAGAGACTACCAACTTCTTTAATTTATGTCTATATGTAATTAAGCCAGAGCTCTTTAGAGGCAACCCAACTAGTATTTAACCCTATCTGTTTGGGTTTCTATCAGTGTTAAATTGGACCATTTTAGTGACTCGATAGCTCCAAACATTGGGGATAGTAGAAATAATAATATAATAATATATAATATAATAATATCTTTGCGCAAAGATTTTACCCTTCAGCAGATAAGAGAGAAAAAGTAACAAGTAGACCATGTTATGTTTCTTTACATTTCCCATGTTCTCTTGTCATTAAACAGGTACCATTTCTGTCAACACACTGCGGACACCCTACACGGCTCCTGGAGAGAGTGAGATTCTGGATCTGGACGATGAGCTGTACCTGGGGGGCTTGCCAGAAAATAAGGCTGGCCTGGTCTTCCCCACCGAGGTGTGGACTGCCTTGCTCAACTATGGCTATGTAGGCTGTATCCGGGATCTCTTCATTGATGGCCAGAGCAAAGATATCCGGCAAATGGCTGAAGTTCAAAGTACTGCTGGAGTGAAACCTTCCTGTTCACGGGAGACAGCAAAACCGTGCCTTAGCAATCCTTGCAAGAATAATGGCATGTGCAGGGATGGGTGGAACAGATATGTCTGTGATTGCTCCGGAACTGGCTTTCTTGGCAGATCTTGTGAAAGAGGTAGGAATTCAAACAATCTAGAAGCCACATTCCCTAGAAGGGCATAATCAATGTTGAGGTTGAACCTGAACTGACCGTTAAAACAACATAAGCTCTAGGGAAATAAAGTCTGGAGGCTGAACCCCCAGACTTTGTACAGATTATGAATGAGATTTTAGTAGTTTCAAAGGACCTTATTCTGGGAAGACTCATCTCTGAGTATGTAGGGATGGAGATGTGGTCTTCTGAAACCTACAGCTCATGGTCCTAAGATGCACAATGGACAATGACCTTTGTCTCTTTTGCCTGGTTTTTGACTTCAGGACACTAGACAGTAATGAGACAGACATGAATGAGACATATATGACAACTCCAATGTTAATATCTCTGCTGTGAAATTGTCTGTGAGACAAATGAAGATGTAAATTGCAAACTTGTGACACTACTGGGTGAGACGAGCCAGCCTGCTCATTTCACTGGGCTGCCAGTTGCCCACTTCTATAAACCTAGCTTCTCCGGAAGCTTAGATCTGAGGATCACAGTTCAAAGCCAATATAGTACAGGCAGGAAAGTCTGTACGATTCTTTATCTATAATTAACCATCAACAAAACAAAACAAAAAGCAAACAACAAAAAAAAACACCCAGAAGTAGAGCTGGGGCTCAGGTGGTAGCACCTGAGTCCTCACAGCACTAGCTTTGAGTACAAAAGCTCAGGAACAGTGCCCAGGCCCTAAATTCAATCCCTAAGACTGGCACAAGGAAGAGGAGGAGAAAGGAGGAGGAGAATAGTTGTCTCTGAGATGTAAACCAAGTGAAATCATCTAAGTTACACCAACACTTTCATAACTGTATCCTGATTTCAGAAGCACTCACGTTTTTGTTTAAGACCTTAAAGGATCCCAAAGCATTCCTTTACCTATTTTCTTTAAAGGCTTTGCTGAGTCTGTTAAAAGTCCGAAGAGGTCCCTCTCTCTCCTTGTCTAAATTGTCAACAAAGCTTTATATTTTTCCTTTCTCTTAAAAGCAGAGGAATAAGGGTTAAAGGAGGACATAAGACTTCCAACTGGTCTGTAGGCCAGGCTAACAGAAGAAATAACAGAACAAATAGTTCCAAGTGTGTCCTTCCATCGACCCAGTGTTGCAGATAAATGCCACAGCCACTACGCCCATTGTCACTTATTTTCTATAATGGAGCTGAAAATCAATATGAAAAAATATTGACAAGCTGTTCCATTGTCCTCTCATGGTACAGGTCACATTGCTCTCTTAGATATTTAGCCTAAATGATACCTGGCATCTTTTCATAAAGCCACGAACATTTAGTTATTAGTTTGTCTTCGTTCCTGAAATAGTTCAATATACTTAGCCTAAAATGTCACAGGGAAAAGGTAGTCATTTTGTAGACTCAAAAAATTGAAATGTATTTTTGGGTATTTATCTCAATAGAAAATGCATTGAATTATCAACAATAAAAATAGTAGCTAATAAAGATACTAAGAATATAAAAATAGCTTAAATTGCCTACAGAAGTGCTATCTCTGTTCTCTATTAGGTAGCTAGTCAGGCTAAGAGATGGATTGGTATTTTATCATTGAGACAGGACCATTCTCTTTCTGATAGTACTGAATTGTCATTCAATCTTCTTCACTGTTCCTATAGAGTATGGATTGTATAAGTATGTTCTTCCCGAGTTTCTACTTTGCATTTTTTCCTTACTAATGTATTTGTTTAGTTTGGTTTTGGAAAACTGCCAAGAGAGGGAGGAAAGTGACCAAGCTCACATAGTTTAATACAGTTAGGCATACTACAAGATTAGCAGGCCTGAGTGATTTAAAATTTAATTTTAATTTCACATACTCTGAATGCTGCCAGTTATCTTGATGCTGCCTGGTTAAGTGGAGCTGGGAAAGCGTGTAAAACATATGCATGGTGTACCACCTTGTGGCAATGTTCTGTTACTACATATGTTCAAAAATAAAAATAGAAAATTTAGAGCCTTCTCTGCCAAAATGAAGGAAAGGAGTATTTTTATATATGGCAATAATTAGAAGGGGAGGTGACAAGCCCATGCAGATTTGCAAATGAAAATTTAATAGCAAACTGCATTACTGGGAATTAGCATGCATCTTTCTCTCATGGATGGCTGGAAATTTCCACAGATTTCTTTGTCTCTATAGTCTAATATGGACATTTTTGTGTAATTTTTGTACCAAGACCACATCCATGTATTATGAGAAGTCTTTGCTTTTCAGAATTAATGTTCTTACATGTGTTTCAGTGCCTCCTGAGGACAAGGGAGATGTGTGATGTCTGACACACTCAGAACTCCAAACATGGCATGCGTCCAGTTCCCAGCTTTGCTCTAGTTCAGCAAACACAAGATCATGCCTGATCCTCTGAGTTTCTGACTCAAAAGAAGATGCTTTGTCTGTTTCTTTTCCATTCTCATCAGATAAAGCTGTTGGTTTCTAAAGAGTCAATCAACAACTCTTTTAAAAAACTGAAAGCAGGACTTACTTATAAATTATCTTTTTATTATTATTGAGCAATGATAGATAATTTATGGCATAATTATTCAACTCTGCTCAAGTGTGCTGCAGGTAGAGGATGATGTTGCAATGTTAGGAATTTTTTATCCTGTGCTAAGAAAACAAGGGATTGACAAGAAGAGAAAACACTGGCTCACTTTGGCAAAAATAATATTTTGGTCCAAATATATTGGTCCTATAAGAAAGAATAAGACAGAAATTATTTTAATAGAAATAAGTTAACTGTAGTCCCTCCTGCTTTCTTTTTGATACAACAGAATGTTTATGCACTTGATGACATAGAAATGACTCTCAGGAATGTATACGGAAAGAGCTTTGGTATAATCAGAGGTCTACTTTATACTTGTTTGTTAAAATTCTAGCAGATGGAGGGACAGATGTCAGAGCAATATAATTTGGCTCCCTGTCTGATTTTCATCGTTGATCACAATATGCGACTGCCTTTTGGCAAAACTGAGCACAGGTGTACACTTTAGACTGCAACCAGGAATAATACAGAAAAGCAAATTTATCAAACTTAATGACAAGGGAGAAGGAGATATAGAAGGCAAAGTTGAAACTGTGTTTCTTCCCCACAGGGAAGTACCTTGCTGGAATTAGCCTCCTAGAGGAATCTTTGTGTGTTCTAAATGATAAAATAATTTCACTGATGCTAACGGATGCTGAGGAGCTGCACAACCTTCAAATGTCAGAATGTTGTCTAACATTTATTTAGCAACTCGAGGCTACAACCTTGCGCATTTTCCATTACTTGTCTAATTAAACATAAACTCTAATTATGAGGAATCATTTAGGCTTTTAGTTGTCATTTATCAACAAGTTATTTTCACATTGAGAATTGTTTAAAATGGCAATCAGGAGCACTCAAATTTTATTACTTTACCATGTGATTTCACTCCTGCAGCTTGTTGGAGAATGGTAAAGGCCAAGGATATCGATTCTTTCTCAATGCAGAATTGCATTTCATGTGATATTTATGACTGATTGCTAGCTATCTTTGTTCCTAAAAAGACATACTCTTGCTCAGTTTTCAAATTAAGCTGCTTTTCATGGGATATAAGTCATTTCAACATTGTTCTCATTGGAAAAACTTACCTAACTGGAATAATCTGATATGATATTTTTAGGTAGACTCTATTTTATTTTCTCAGCAGTTAATACCTACTCATGCAGTCTATATTTTCATAGAGATATTCCCTAGTTTGCCTTTTACTGCCCAGTATGGCCTTTCAAATAAACATGAAGAAGCTGGGAGAGGTGGCTCATGCCTATAATCCTAGCTACTCAGGAGGCTGAGATTTTAGGATTGTAGCTGGAAGCCAGCCCAGGCAGGAAAGTTTGTGAGATTCTTATCTCCAGTTAGCCACCAAGAAACTGGAAGTGGCTCTGTGACCCAAGTGGTAGAGCACTAGCCTTTGAACATAAAGTGGTTTAGGAACAAGTCCTGAGTTCAAGCCCCAAAACCAACAAAGAAAACTAAAATAAAATATGCATGAAAAATTTGTCCTTTGTTATATATTGCCAGGTTTTGATTCCACTAATAACATATTGACTAAATATTTATTTTTTCTGATGAGAATTTATGTAAGCTTTGTTTCCAAAATCAAATACATTTTTTTTCATGTATACTCAGTATCAAATGCAGCAGTTGGCTCAAGAAAGTTAGATTTTCCAGAGACTTTTGTTCACTTTTGTGCATTCTCTGCAGATAGACCAAGGATTAGGATAAGGATGCTTCTCAAAGTTTTTGCATCCTGCAGGAAGATACAAATAATATCATTAAAACAAATTATAAGTAATACTTTCAAAAAGTGAAATGGTAAATAAACATAAATTAACTGAATGAGGATGTAGGCCTTTCTAGAGTAACATTTGGCCAGAAACCTGATTACTGAAAAAGCCAGCCATGTAAAGATTTGAGTGACACCTTTCCAGAACCTAACCAACTACTTCAATGATAGATGAAGCTGGCCTGGCATGAGCAGGCTAAATACACTGCATCCAGAAAAACTGGCTGAGGCCAGTTGATACAGATCCTTATACATTTAAACAAATAATCAAAAAACACAAATGAAAGCAGAATCTGTGATATTTTGTTCCTTCAGGTGAAGATTAGAATTTGAGCCATATTCGAATAAGGCAGAGAATAAGAGAAATCATTGTCTCTGACCTGTGGGATTGTACCCACTGAGAAGGGGAGCACTTGAGAAGGAGTCTGTTTTGAGTTCGTTTGTCTTGAGAAACAGTGAATTCTGATATTATTGTTGTACAGCTGATATGTTAAATAGACAATGGGTAGAGAAGTCCAGGCACATAACACTAGAGGAAATGAGCATGGAATTCTCTTAAGGTCAGAAATGGAGAGAGAGAGAGAGCGAGAGAGAGAGCGAGAGAGAGAGAGAGAGAGAGAGAGAGAGCGCAAAGGAAGGAGACCGGCGGGAACATAGTAGTGCTCAGGCTCTGGATGGACATTCAACCCTGTAATGATAACAAATTGTGACTAAAATCTCTTAGGAGCAGCTCATGACCTCCTGGCTTTCTAACAGATAAACTGGCAAAACCACAACTCCAGAATATAGTCTTAATAAGGAGCACGGTTGCATCAGTGAAGTTAATTGCTATGCTATGTAAACAGCCAAGATAATGAGAATTTCCTGATTTATTTTAATTCCAGGTAGTTTTTTTTTCTTTTATTAAATGGCATTTGAATAATCAGAACCAATAAGAAAGCAAAATAACTCATAACTTGCTTTTGCAGCATTCTTCTACCATATGGTGTTTAACACTCAGGGAGCTGACTAGTTCTCAAAGCAATTTGTCATCAAGTTTTACTGTTCAATTCTTTATGTGTTCATACAGTGTCCACAGCTTCCCTATGAATACTATCAACCTTAGTGAGACAACATGCCACACAAGCCACTTAGTCCCTCCCTTCCCTACCCAGGCTCAGTATAATGAAGATATGTAGTTATTGATGCTTTTGTGATCATTTAATACATTTCGGACACCAGGGTTGTGTTTAGAGGTAAAGTTTTAAGTCTATTCTTTACCAGTAAGTGTACCTTAAAGTGATCTTTAAAAAAAGAAAGAAAGAAAATTACCCTTTTGCATAGTGGCACAGAAGGGTATTTTATTACTAGCTAACTGCACTATCAACTTTTCTCATTTTAGACATCACCTTTGGTAGGATTGGTCTAATTTCTGTAAGTCATATTTCTCTCTGTATTTTTTTCTTTTTTAGAGTATAAATATGAAGGAAAAAAGTTAGTGGTAGGTAGAATCTTTTAGCACCAGGTTTTTTTCAAGCAGGCCAGATCCTAGAGCCCTTCCAATAGTACCTTGTCTTTTTAATTTGAAAGGCCAGAGATAAGGCAATGTTGATCAGCCAAGCAGTTGGATTCACTCTCCAGAACTTGTGTTAATAGTTTTTTGGTGTTTCCAGCCAGGCTTCCATTTACTGAGAGGAGAGGAACATACAAAACACTTAGAGCCCTTCATATCAAATGGAATATTAATGTGCGAGCTGTGGCTACAATAAAAGAAAATGTATCAACAGAGCACTTGTGGCTCATACCTGTAATCCTAGTTATTCAGGAGGCAGAGAATTAAAGACCATGATTTGAAGCCAGCCTGGGCAGAAAAGTCCACGAGACTCTTATCTCCAATTAGGAAAAGAAAGGAGGAGGATCCTACAGTTAACTACAAAATGGCTGAAAGTAAAGAAAGGAAGAAAAGAAATGATCAGCCTGAAAATTGAAGATTTTCTAACCTTCAAAAAATATTATTGGAGTAAGAAATGTATGCATTATCCTGCCCATGTAATTGTAACCCCTCTGTACAGTATGTTCACAAATAAAATTAAATTTAAAAAAATTTTAAAAAATATTAAAAAAATATTACTGGAGAAAATCTGAATGTTTACCAATGTGGAATCAAGAAAGAAACTAATGATATTTCATTTCAATGAAAGATCATACTATCCTTAAAAAAAACTAAAAATTTCTACAGGATTGTCAGGGGAAATAGTCTCAAAGATAGATCAAAGTTATAAGCAAATTGTATGAATTGAGTCAAATACAATTAAATAAATAAAGAACTACACTTTTTTAAGAAAGCTGAAAGTAGAAATGTGTTTCCAGTGAAAGAGAGCCAGCCCTGAGCACAAAAAGCCAACTGAGAATGAGAGGCCTTGCATTCAAGTCCCACTACTGGCACACAAAAAATATTAATAGTTATGATAATAATAAGAATTAATAAAAATAAACTAAGAAAAATAAAAGAATGCTGTCCTTGCTGCATCTGGGCTATATCATAAACTTCACACACACACAAAAACAAAAGTCCTTTTGATGATGACTTCTCATTCCAGTAAAAGAAATAAAGTATTATTTCTGAAAAATAACTAAATAAGAAGGACTTGAACTCAAAAAGGAGATTATTGGGGGAAAGAAGAAGCTGAGAATGAGTAAAGCCAGAGTGAGAGAGAAGATGGTCCAAGTACATTTTTTGCACCTATAAAAAAGTCATCATGAAGTCCATTTAAAATAACTTGCAAGGAAATTAAAATAGTGAGAGCAGCCTGGGCAAGATAAAAAACAACAACAACAACAGAGTGAGTGGATATGATCAAAGTACATTATACATGTATGGAAATACCACAATGGATCCCCCTTTTCCATGTAATATATGCAAATGAATGTCATGTTTAAATTTCAGGTTTCTGAGGCTGCTAAGTTGATTTTGTCACCTTGGGTGCTCTCTAGAAGCCTTCAGTCGATTGCTCTCTAAATGCAGTAATCTGAGCAAGAACTCAACTCTTTTCCTTCCTACTCACAGAGGCCACGGTTTTGAGCTATGACGGGAGCATGTTCATGAAAATCCAGCTTCCGGTGGTCATGCACACGGAGGCGGAGGATGTGTCCCTAAGGTTTCGGTCCCAGCGTGCCTATGGTATCCTGATGGCCACCACTTCCCGGGACTCAGCAGATACCCTGCGCCTGGAACTGGATGCAGGGCGTGTGAAACTCACTGTCAACCTAGGTAACAACTCGTCTTCCACCCCTGAACTAACACTTCCCACCTTCCAGTTGTGCCTGCAAACATTTATCAAGTAGCCCGTTTGCCATGGAAAATTAAAACCCTCAATGACCTTAGTTCCATTATTTAATTTGTGGGTTTGTTTTTTTAGGGGGGGATCATCTTTTTATTTTGCCTTTTGTTACATTTAATATAATTTCCTGTTCTGTGATTCCTACCACTGACGGTTCTTAAAAGGGGAAGAAGCCATGTCTATTTATCATTTAGGTGAATTGGAGATATAAATATAAAGAACTGTAAAGATGAATTGAATATAAAGGAATACAAATATCACCTATGCTTCAGATTGATTAGAGATGACATCATTTATGTCTACTTTGACTTAGAAAATGTACTTTGCTATTTAGATCAGCCGTTTCTTTGGGCTTCTCCTTTGAACAGTTCCCTTTGTGGTCTTCCATCCTTTCTGTTTCAAAGTACTGTGTGGTGATAGTTTGCTATCAGATAGCAATCCACAACCCTTCAATGCCCAAAGTCTGCGGCCCTCAGCAAACAGCTATGAGAACACGAAGGACACAAGCTCTTCTACAGAAAGATAATGCTGCCCTGCTCCTATGCAACACTAAGGAAGTCACTACAGTAAAACCTCACCCACCTGGACCTACCATGGGGGAAAGGCAGGCTGGATTAACAAAAATATTTAACAAAAACGTTTGTTATAGAGTTTCAGTGAGAAGCAGCTTTCTAATTTTTTAAAGTGGCATTCAGAAACACAAATCAATATATGGAAAATGAAGGAAAGGACATCGTAGGGAGCTTTTCATGGCTGGATTCAGAGATGGTTACATACAAATTGTGCTGTCAATTTGTAATAATATGTTTGCAATCAGTTTTTTCCTACCTGCACTTGGCATTTAAATCTTGTTCATTCCTGATTTTAAAAAAATAATTAGGTGATTTCTGAGAAAGTGAAGATTCAATATTCTGCCCAATAAGTTTCAATATAGTTAACTCCAATGGAGTAAAAATGAATGAGGTTTTACTGTATTTTGTGAACGTATTGCATACACATAGAAAACAACAAAGATATGCAGAAAACTAAAATTCAAACTATGAAGACAGTTTTATTTTAAAGTAAACCAAAACCACTAGTACAGGAGAGCATTTTGGGAACCCCACTTACATTTTCAAATTGTGCTGGGCAGAATGATAACTCAGAAAATTCAAAATTAATGCAAACATTATTCTTCTTTAATTGCATGCAACTGACACTAGTAAAATAAGTTAAATAATAGTTTATTTTAAAATTCCTATTTAGTGCACACCATTTCCTGTTCTGTTAGAGTTCCCTCTAGTGACCACATTAGGTTACTACAAAGCCAGTCAAATTGTCTCATTGCTGCAGGAAGCTGCTAGCAAAGAACCCTCAGGGGCGTTTTTTCCATAGCAAAGCATTCTGTAGAAAGAGCTGTGTAGGTGCTGGTCCTTGGCTGTTTGCAACCACTTTTCTGATGCGGTTGACGACACATGACAAACTCAGCTATATGGATACAGAATCTAGGTTTATATTTTTCATGTTCCCCAAAGGCATTAAAAATACTAAAATGAAACCAACAAGGATATATCACAAATGAACACAGGACATCCCATGTTGTTCTTTACAAATAATCATTCAGATCACATTCTGTGAAGTCCACACCAGACATTCTGTTCTTCTAGTATCTGCTCTCATGTCAAGGAAATACACAAAAGACAAAATTAATGGTAATGTTAACACTAACACTCATGGAGATAGCATTGGAAGCTTCTAAGAGAGGGATACAATGTACTCCGAAGAAGAGCTGCCCCTTAGCCACTGTGGTTTCTAAAGCATGTACATAGTTGCTTTTGTTTTCCTCCTCCATGTAATACATCCAACAGCTGGCTGTAACCTTTTTGCACCGAGGTAATTAAATTAAGGAACAAGAACCCAAACATACAAAACCATTAGGTCACAATGAGAATAATTTCTTCTAGCTCTCCAGTGGTCCACTGGAATTCTGAATGATTCTGTTGGCCTTTGTGGGATGTTAGATTTTGGAGGTCCAAGATGTCTGAGCCTAGCTGAGTTTGCACTTGTACCCCATTGTGACGGAGCACTTTTTAATTTCACTGAAAACCATGATATGTTCTTTCACAGATGGGGAAAAAGTTGCGGCCAGTCTAAGTCAAGCATCTTTGACAGTTAACTACTCTTCATTTCACTTAGATTTGTCACCATGTAGCTTTGTTTGAATTGGCCATTTTTTTTAACATTCAATGATTGTTTCCAATGGTGCAGTTTTATAACAATAATCTGGGTTCTAGACATCTTTAAAAAAATAATGCTTATGGAGTGGCCATATTTGCATGTGTCTGTCCCCGGAAGGGTGGAACTGTGATTTTATTGGATGTCTGCAGCTATTACCTTGAAGGATAAATTTTCATTTTTCATCTATTCTTCCCCATCTAGATTGTATCAGGATTAACTGTAATTCCAGTAAGTGCCTATTCAAAATTTTTAAAATGTTATTCCTCCATTATGATGTAAGCTAGCCAAGAGAAGCAAAGAGAAAAAGCAAGAGAAATATGTTTATAAAACTCAGAATCTCATTTTTGAAGTCTGCCAGTCCATCATCTGGGTTGTAAAAATTCATCTTGCAATATGTACAGCAGAATTGTTTCCCACCATGATTCCTATTTCCATGTGGGAAAAGAGCCAGCACGTATTTTTTAACAGAAGGCACAAACACCTGTTTACAGTCCTATATACCTATACACAGGTACAACTACAATTTCATTTTGCCAGGTCTTGGACTTGAGCAGTTCCCTTTATAGCCAAATGCAGGAATATACTGTCGGTCTCATTTCCTTCTGTTTTAATTTTTTTACTTGAATATAAAAACCAAATGTTAAATTTCTCTCTTGTTGAGAGTTATTCATAATTCCTTCTAAATTTATCTAAATTTTAACATGGTAAAGTGCCTTTCTGTACCATGTTCTTAGAACATTATTGGTCAGAAAGCTTTATCCTTAATTATTAACAATACTTATATGATGGATTTTTACATCCTAATCATATTTCTGAAAAAAATAACCAAAATCCTTCGATTCTGTGATTTGCATGTCAAATGATGAGTCAGCAAAGATGTATGGACTGAGTTTTGTTTGGGCCAGAGATCTGACAGGGTATGGGGACTGTGATTTTATTTTGAGGTGCAACATTATATGAAGAAAAAAATAATTATTTCTTTCTATCAATGTTTAGATTTTTCTTTTCCAGGTTTTGCTGACCACATAATGAAAAGCCCCCTGAATGACCACAAAATCATTAATGATTTAATAGAATTATGCTAGCATGGTTCTAATACCTCAGACATAATAAAATATTCTTCTCAATTTTAAGAGAAAAACCAAGTGTGAATTGACAAAGTTTGTTTCCCAGATGTTTGGCTGTTTTTCCAAATGACAATATGTTTTATTCTGGGGTACAAAGTCATAAAAATTGTAAAAGCAAAACAGTTTTTATCTGATAAAAGACATACTTGTAAGTGTTCATATTTGTATTTGTACAGTTCACATTTTTGTTCATATTTTTAAAGTAGCATAAAGATGAATCTATTTAGTTAGAGTAATGAGAAAATAGCTGAATTATAAAAATTAAACTTTTAATTTTGAACTCTAGCCAGCATGCCAAGTATTAATAAAAATTATCTCAAAAAGAATATTTCCTGCAAATAATCTTTCAATGATATGACACAAATAAACTTTTTCAAGTATACATAATCTGCTCTCCAAACCCATTGCTTCTACACATTCTTTGAAGAAAACTTTTTATATGTCTCATACCATGTTGCTGTTTACTTTCAGTTCTAGGACACAGAGATATGAAAATTCTGTCTCCAAAAACCAGGTTTGGCATAATCCAAATATGCTTTCTTGATCCATTCTGAATTCTAGAAAATACTTGTGTAGAAAATGCCCCCTTTCTAGACCTGAACCTTATGTCTTCTTTTTATTTTTGATAGGCATATAATGAAGAATAGCTTTCTAAACTAACAAAATATGATTATATAAACTCAACTTAGAAGTAATAAGTTAGGATTCTTTATAGCTTCATCAATGACTTTTAAGTATCTATCTATCAGTCTATCTATCTATTTGTACTAAAATTATCTTCTTATTTCTAAGTCCTCTTTTGGTAACAGGAGAATCTGGTGTTTATGATAGTTGCTACCCACACCAGACATCCCAAAGGATAATTTTGAAGGCAAAGGTTATTTTTTTGTGTGGCTGGCTAGTTTAAATTTCCCCCTCTATACAGTATGAGTGACATTCAAATAGGTAAATTAATTGAGTAATTATGAACTTTGAGTGTCCGCTTTGGACAGGGCTGAAAATGCTTGAGGGCAGTCACTGGAAGGAATGTTCAGTGACCAGGTAATGACTCCACTTCCTTTGGCCTTTATTTTTGTGTGAAGAGTAATGGGCAGATGTTTTAGAAAACCCCAGGTTTAGGAAGAAGACTCAAGGGTAAGGAAAGTTAGAAATTTACATATCAAATAATGTGAGTCCAACTCACAAGAATTAAATAAGCAGAGATTTCCTACCTGCATTGCATTTGCTACCCAATAAAAAATAAATTAGAAATGTCTGGATTTCAGGTTAAGTTTTAGTTTAATGAAAAAGTGATTTATCATATGAATCCTCTGTGAACTACAGGCTTGTGTCTGAAACTGTGAAGATTCATGTACGTTTATTAAGTCACAGCTGCATAACATGATTGCCTCTAAAAGCTGTTGCCATACCTATGGTATCAACTGCATTTGGGATTAATATGAAATATTCCAATTGATATATTTTAAGAAAACTGCCACAGGAAATAGGAGTTACAACCCAAATGATTACCTCACCTTGAGAACTAATATTAAACTCTAAATTATTCAATGTGAGACAGTTCTCTGCAGTTACTTCAAATTGCTCTGCCGTTCCTGTACTCATCATCTTTTCCCTCCCCATCTAATTTACAGCATCAAGCTCCATATAAAAGAGAAAATGTGCATGGTATCATATTTTCTGATTTTTGATTTTGAAGAATGGGAGAAGAGTAAAGACCTGACTTGCTGTATTCAATCCTACAGGACCATTAAGAGATGTCAGATTGTTTTATTTCTCCTCAATCCTGGGTCACAAGGGCAATGCAGATATAGAATTCTCTGTGGCTAGACCAGGGATCACGGTTGTACAAAGGCTCCTCTGAGAAAGGACAGATTTGAATTTCCAAGAACTTACGAAACCAGATTTTTTTGTTGCCACCATATTTCTCTCAAAGAGAAAAAAATATATCAAGCATCTTTGAATAAAAGAATAGAGCCTCTTCTCATTTAAGAGTCTAAACCTTGCCTTCATGTATACATAGGTTATATTTTTCTTTCTTTTATTTCTTTTTAAAGAGAAATTTCTGTGAACAGTGGCCATGTGAGTGTAGAAATGAATATTTTATCTTTCAGATTGCAGAAAGGAATGTGTTTGCATACAATCCCAAACCAGTCTCCATTTACTGATACATTTTTTGAGTTTATCATTACTGAAATATGGGTTTAGGGTAGTTTTTGAAAAGTCATGGGATAAAAGGTAAACTGAAGGATATAATACCTCTGATTTTTACTGTCATCTTAGAATAAAAAGACAGCTAAATTACCTTTTCTCTCCCAACTTCCCCATCTTGAGAATAACGGTTTATCGTGATTCAACAATCTTATATTGAATTGCTCAAGGAGACACCAACTTTTAATCATGATGCTTTCTTTCAAAACAATTAAAAGTACTTTAATCAAGATCTATGGAAAAGTACTATAAAATAATACTCTAATGTAAATAGACAAATATATTTGAACTCATTTTTCAAAATTATGGACCTGTGGACAAAAAATTATCCTAAGAATAATTACTAACACAAAGCTAAATCTAATAAACCATTGTCAAAAAAGCCAAACCAGATGCTTTTTGAATTATGAATTTTTTTGCATGAAAAGCTGTGTGATTGGTACCTTCTTGCATAGTCCATAGCATTTAATGACTTGAAAAATCTTGACCTCCTAAGTCTTTTAAACTATTAAAATTGCTAAAAGGCTTTTCTATTTCTTGTGAGATGATGCAAAACTGGGGCCACTTTTTTTTCTCTCTCTCTTTATATATATATATATATATATATTAAAATAAGGATTCATCAATTCATGTCTTGTGTGTCCATATTATTTGACTTAAATTATGCTTGTATATTTGCCTCTTCTCCTGCCCATTTGCTCTTCATTTGTTTTTCCAAGTTTCCTCTTCTATTGCCATTTCCAATGTAGCCTTCTTCCTATTCTCTTCCATTTTATATGCTTACATGAACAAAAACTCTTATAGTCTTCTCAGAGAAAGTGGTTCATCTTAGATTCAGAAACAACACAATTATAGATGACAGGAATGGGAGAAAAATGTCAGAGGTTGAAGTTCAGATACTTTTTGCAGTTCAGTACCCAAGTACTGGAGACAAAACAGAATTTACAGGCAAGCACTTAACCTCACTTTGGACTTGAAGACAGATAAGAAACACTCTGCACAGTATGTTATTAGAAAATGTACTTTGATGGATGTCTGGGGTAGATAATAAGATCTTTGTATTATCATTTTATTACCAGAATGAAAAGATCAACTGGATATTAGTTATCACCAATTTTTCTATGGAGATAAAAATGGAAAGCAATAAAGAAATGCAAAATGTCAACCAGTGGCACTTAAGCCATATTAGATTACTTTGGTCAGGCTGTAGTTTGGCAAGCTACTGAAGAAGATAGGAGGGAATTCTGCGGGCTGGAACTTGCTAACATGAAGCAAATATTCAGTGCAGAGCAGCTATGTGCTGCCCAAGGAAAAGAGAGCTGGAGAAGGGAGTCTTCTGCCTCTGCCCCCTCCAACAAGCATTTAACTTGTGTTTGTCAGTCATTGACTCTCAGGGGCTGTGCTGTCTGACAGCCTTGCAAACACACCGTTTAAGAAATAAGCCTAGGCACAGAAATGAATGGAGGAATTTTGAGTTGAATGTCCCTGTTGTTGTTATTGTTCGCTGAATGCATATATGGAGGAAAGTAAAATAAACGAGAATTTTTACAAATTTCTACTCATTATCTTTCTTTGATTTAATTTTACTGTCAAGGTGATGTACAGAGGGGTTACAGTTAGAGATGTAAAGTAATGGGTTTGTTTCTTGTTGAATATTGTTATACTTTCCCTCATTTTTCTCCCATTTTTACCAAAATCTTAAGAGTAACTGAATTTAAAATGCAGAGAGGAAAAAGAGAGAGAGAGAGAGAGAGAGAGAGAGGAGGGAGAGAGAAAGAGAGAGATAGAGAGAGAAGGAAAAAAGAGACTATAGGCTTCTAATTGAAAACAAATAGCTAAAAAATAAGCAAGTGGTTTGAATATGATAAGAAGTCTTTAGAAAAATATGACAGT